CCATGTCATCATGCATGATTAAAAGGAAACAACAAAATGTGTTCTCCAAAAAGACATAGCAGAATTTCTCAAAATACTGGAAGATCATTAAAAAACCAATAATACATCCACTAATTTATAAAAGAAAATAATAAAAACATGCAACTGTTAATTTTATCAAGTGTATTACCAAATACTTCTGCAGAATGATTGGCTGAAATTGATGGCGATCATGAACAGGATATTTCACTACAGCATAATCGCCCTATTTGCCCACATGATAATGATAATCAACCTTAACTGTAAAATTAATTTGTTGACCGATGAAAATTCAAGTCAATCAAAGATAGTTGGTTATCAATAGTTGGAGGTTATCAAAGAAAAACATCTTAGGCAAAAGGAGCAGGTACTTTAGAATATATTATGCATAAAACACTTTCAATAATATAAGGACACAATTCAAATGAAATGATCAAAGAAACCCTTCTTGGGGCCAAACACAAATGGTGGATAACGAATACTTTTATTCACTGTAACGAGGTAGGCGATGGTAGATCAATGCAGATAGAAATTATTTCACATATCTAAATGAATAAATACAAGTTTAATATTTTTCCTTCACTGTTAAGAGTGGTCAATGAATACAGCATTGGACTCCTAACCATTGGCTCATATATTCTAATTTTGAAAAAGTTATTGGGTCGCGACATCCATCTACAGCCCATCCACGCCTTCTTTCGGCTTGAGCACTGTTTAGTACATGTAACAAGAAAGCAGTCATCGGGAATAGTTTTATATAAGGACAAAATGGTTTCTCAAAAACCGATGTAGACCGAAGTTTGACAAACATTAGTAAACGGATGGTGTTCGGGCCAAAACATATTTGCCTAAATGAGCGTTCTAATTGAAACAAGTATACGGACATACTAGTACATGTATCTAAAATAGTGCATTTCATACTAGTGTATACAGCTTTAGGCCTATATTTTCGGATTTCAAAATTATTGTTAATTTCATGATTTAAATAGTTACAGAATACTAGTACATGAAATAAACTTAATTAGCATTTTTCTTAAATGCCCTAAATAAACGCTAAACAAGGGAAATATTTTGTTCCATAATGTTTTCTTCTGATTTCCACGATGTCCCGCGACACACAAATAACCCGAAACAACGTTAAAACGAATTTATGATGGTTAAAAGTCGAGAGTGAAAAAATCCAACAACAACAAAAAACACGATGGTGAAAACTCGGTATAATATCGTATCATCGTCATCGTACTTTTGACCTCTTGTCATCGTCGTTCTGTTGTTTCGTGCCCCCGGAGCCATTATTCATTTAGTGTTAAGTTTCTTGCTCAAGAAAATAACGGCGGTTTGTGCCCACACGGCGAGCGATACATAGATGACTAGTCCGACGTGCTAACTACTCGCCATACTTATACTTTAATTTATTATAAACATACATGCATAATAATTATTAAAACACAATGATATGGCTATAAAAATATTTATTTCATCTGCAAGTTATTTTTAATTTTTTATTTTTAAAAGATGTTAGAAAAAATAGGACGGATATAAATTAAAATCTATTGTAACAAAAATGTATTTTTTACCATAATTCATTGGGTGTATAATTATGTCATTATGCGATGCAGATCGAAAATGAAAGCAAAACCTTGATAATTTTAATTAAAAAGCAAAGATACTGTACATTTATTCTGGGAATTTCCGTATATACAACACCATAGGAATGAAGTGTTTAAATACATCAATAGCAAGAACGATATATTAGCAATCATGTGTTACATGATAATAAATTTACATTTACAAGCAAAATACAGTAATACAAATCTATGGAAGCCCATTGAGGCCGTTTTGAGTTAGGATGTACATCGCAAAACTTAGCTCTTAGAACTTTTTAGCTCTTACAGATTCCGTTAAGGCGGGAAAACGCCATATTAATATGATTAACTGCAAGATAGACAAGAAGATGTAATTGAGATTTATAAATCTTTTACTATATTTCTTTAATTGTATATTTTAATTTAAAGAACTGCAGAGGTAAACCTATTACATTAAAATATAAAATCTACGATGATCACCGTAGGGAACGTGTTACAGTATCGCGTTTTTCGGTTACAGTTTAGAATTTTCAAGATGGAGGATTATTTATGAGAAGAGAGGTAGGTGTTTTTTATTCAGGTCCATACTACAAGTAGTTTAGTTTCTAAAAGATGTTTTTGTGCTTTGCTTGTAAGGAACAGAATCCGGTATCTAGTCATATATTTCTTCAGACTCTGCACTGCAGATTTATCTCTATATTGTCTCAGAAATGTGCAGATTTGACAGTTTAAAAATTTGAATCGAGAGACCTGGAATCTGTTCAGGGCTTAACTTTGGTCATCGTGTTAATTAACAAGTCATACAGATATTCCAGAACTTTATGAATCACTTAAACGGTTTCATTGTTACGTCCTGTAGTTTCATTAAAGTTGCAGAAGTGTTATATTTTGTTTGTTTAATTGATTGGGTTTTACGCCACACCGACAGAGTATAGGTCATTTGATGGCTATCCAGCTTTACAGGTTGAAGAAGACCTCAGGTGCGATTGCGTGCATTATTTTAGGCACGAACGGGCACCTGAGTAGAACCACCGACGTTCTGTAAACTAGCTGGATATCTTCCTCACATGAAAGAATCCAATGTCCCTGTCGGGATTCGAACCAAAGCGGTGAGGGGCAAGTGGTTTGAAGTCAACGACCTTAACCACTCGGCCACGGACGCCCCTCATAAGTGTAAAAGACGAGTAATCGTTAAAGGACCATAACTCTGACAAAAGGATGTGGATGATATGCACAACTAGATCTAATTATTCCTGTGGAAATTGAATGAAACTGCGCCAGTAGTGTTTGAGTAGTCCGGACAAGTTTTGTTATGGGACAGATAGACAGACAGGCGACGGAAAAGTGATCCCTCTGTAGCTGGCAACACAAAAATGGACTAAAAATTAATATTCCTATTATTTAGACTCATAGAGGATTTAATTTTTGCTTTGTTGCACACAAGTTACTAGAGTAGAACCATTAACCTCATGTTCAATTGCCTACTAATATCATGAAATGAAAATGATATCAGCATCTGCAGCAATTTTTGACCAAACATTTGTACCCATTAGAGATTCAATGACTAATAAATAACTCGGTTGTACAATCACAATTACGCTCTGAGAACTAGGATAGCTTTCAATTGCTAGATAATATCCTAACCAAACATTTGTCACCAATTAGAGATTCAGTATCTAATAACTCGGTCGTGCAATCACAATGATGCATATTTTAGCTTAACCTATAGCTCTTCAGCGCTTCTTATGTAAAATTCTTCCTAGTATAATTTCCAATAACCGTAAATTATACCATACCCAGACTATTGTATAATTTTCAGTTTTGAAGATCGAAGGAGTAAGTGTTTCTGGGCGGAGCTATAGGTTAAAACAGATACACCATTGGTGCGTTGACGATTTCTGGGTTTGCGTAAATTATACCATAATCACGTGACCTTTCTTATGCAACCTCAGTTTAAGGCATAAGAAAGGTCACGTGATTATGGTATAATTTACGCAAACCCAGAAATCGTCAACGCAGCAATGGTATATCTATTACTTACATGACTGTATAAATCACTGTCCATAGCAGGATTGGAGACGAACAGATTGGCCATTAAAGAGCAAAAGATAGTTTACCTATATTGTCAATAATTAACTTTTGAAAACAGTGACTAGATACCAAAGTTAAAAGGTTTTGAGAAATGAAAATAGCACTGGGCCTGTAATTTTTGTGTGGCAATTTTTCATCTTAATTAACTGTTGAAGGAATGTCTCATAATCTCAACATATGTCACCCCCTGATCTCTAGTCAACTTTCGCCATAAATCTCAACTCAACTTACCCTGTAATCTCCACTCAACTCATCCCATAACCTCAACTTAACTCAACTCTCCTCTTGAACTAAACTGTCAACATAATGTCAACTCAACTTTCCCCGTCACCTTTAATTTTGTAAAACCTCCCCATAATCTCAAATCAAGTCGACCCCGTTATTCAGCTAAAACTCATTTTCTCCCAATAAATTTTCCAAAGCAATTTCTCCCCTAAAAAAAAAAAAAAAAAAAAAAAAAAAAAAAAAAAAAAAATTTTTTCCCTTTAAACCAACTTAAAATTCCCCCGTAATCTCAAATTTCCCCCCCGTTATCTCAACTCAACTCTCCCCGTAACCTCAAATCTCCTCTTAAACTCAACCTAACTCAATTCTCCCCGTAGCCTCAACTTAACTCTCTCCATAATCTCAACTCTCGCCGTTATCTCAACTCAACTCTCTCCGTTACCTCAATTTAACTCAACTCTTAACATAATGTCAACTCAACTCTCCTCGTAATTTCAACTCAGCTCTTCCCATAAATCTCAACTCAACTCTCCCCGTTATCTCAACTCTCCCAGTAATCTCAACTCAACGCTCCACATTTTATCAACTCAACTCTCCCCGTAATCTCAACTTCCCTCGTTAACTCAACTATCCCCATAATCTCAAGTTATGTCACCCTGTTATCTCAAGTCAACTTTTGCCATAAATCTCACCTCAACTCTCCCCATAATTTCCACCCACGTCACTCGATCGTCACTCTGTTATCTCAGCTCAACTCTCCCCATAATTTCAACTAAACTCAACTCTCCCTATAAATCTCAACTCAACTCTCCCAATCATTTAAACTCAACTGTCCCAATAATTTAAACTTTTCCTGTAATCTCAACTCAACTCTCTCCATAATTTCAACTAAACTCAACTCTCCCCTTAATCTCATCTGTACTCCAGGGGCGGATACAGAACATGGTTTCCTGGGGGGGCTGACATATGGGTGGAAGATTTGATAAAAATAAAGTTAGTTAATTTCTTAGTTATTAAAATGCGATTCCTTTATTATTATCTTAATAAAACTCGCCATCTTTTAAATTTACAAATAATAATTTTCAATTTATTAATTATATATACAGTAGGGTTTTCCTTCAGAAAATGAAAAAAAAGGTAGTTTAATATGGTATACTTTTTAACATATCTATTTTTCATTAGACCTTTGGAAAGTAATTAACCAATCAATTATGCAGTTTAAACATTGAAGTCAGTCAAGCATGTTGATAGATAAAGATCTTTACCCCTCTGCCAAGCCCCCAGGCAGGAGATTAAGAACTGGATGACAGCAATAAATGTTTTGATAAGGGAGTACACTACAGCCAATAAAGATTGAAACTGACAAAAAATATGTTCCAGCCCAGCTGGTAAACATATCTTAGGGCCAAGCTGGGGGTGGGGGGCTGCAGCCCTGAATCCGCCACTGGTACTCTTATCTGAACTTTACTCTCTCCCTAATCTAAAATCCACTCAACTCTCCCTGTAAACTCAACTCAACTCTTCCCATAATCTCATCTCAACTCTCCCCATAATCTGAACTGAACTGAACTCTCCACCCTTACCTCAACTCTGCCCATAATCTCAACTTAACTCAACTCTCCCTGTAATCTTAACTTAACCCTTCCCGTAACCTCAACTCAACTCTCCCCATAATCTCAACTCAAGTCACCCTGTTATCTCAACTCAACTCTCCCATAATCTCAACTCAACTCTCCCCGTAAACTCAACTCAAATCTCCCAGTAATCTCAACTCAACTCTCCCTGTAACCTCAACTTAACTCTCCCTGTAATCTCAACTTAACTCTCCCTATAACCTCAACTAAACACTCCCAGTAACCTAAACTCCACTTTATTCTCCCAGTTAACTCTACTCAAATCTGCTCTCCCCTTAACCCATCACTCAACTCTTCACTCAACTTTCCCCCTAACTTAACTAGAATGAAAACTGATTTATTGAAAAAATTACATGAAAAATTCAGCAGGTTAATTTTAAATGTTCACAACACAATGTAAAGTTGGTGATTGACACTTCCAAGAGATAATATATGCACAATGTCTGTTCTTCTATTACACATCTATAGTTTGAAGTATGTTTCCTGAAATATAAAGAAATACACATTTTATTATAATTTCTTTTTCAACAAATAATTTTTCAACTTGGCAGTATTCTTTTGTTAAATAAATACATCACCTCTGATAATTTTAGCATTAAGGCAGTTGAGAATCACAATGTAAAGTTAATAACTAACATCTGAAAATATTTATTTACTTCACAGGGTTTGAAACTGATGTATCATAATTATACAATTATTAACCAAACAATTAAAAGAGAGCAATAAATTTGATATTAAATGTTGATTAACATTATTTTCATATACCATATTTTCATATTTGATTGATCTATAGTAAAAACACTACAAGGCATGATTATTAAAGATCAAAGAGATATAAAATTCTTTAAGGAAGAAAGACCCAGTGTACGAAATTTTGGCATCGATTCTGGACGGGATTGGCACAGAATTGATACGGAATCAGTGATTTCTTGGCGGACCAGGGACGGAAACGCAAATTCCGTGTCATTCCGTCTCTCAAGAAAAAAATTTTGTTCACTTTTCTGGGCGGAAAACTAGAAAAATATCAGCTGGAATTTTATTTGGTAGACATTTCATCTTGGACAGAATTTTCAACTTTAAAATTTTCCTGGGAAGGAATGGTCTTCACTATGGACGGAATTCTATACTTAAACATGTTTCTTGAACAGAATTTCACATATAAGATGTCTAAATCATAATTGTACTCTTGTTTTTGCGCTTGTGGACATTGAGATTTTACCAACTGTACTTATTACTTTTGTTAAAGCATGATACTTGACCAATAATAACAAAAAACAAAGCTGTCGGTAGGACAGAATGCTCGACTATTCTAAGTGTTTGATATTAAAAGAGCCTTGATAATGTAACATTTTCTAAATTAACAAAAGGGCCAAATTTTTTCTTAAAATCCATGTTACGGCTATAGGTCTTCAGGAGAGTCCTATTATGCTCTCAAAGAAGTGCATAAAATTTCAAATTGTTTCAAAGCGAGATGTCAATGGAATAGGAAAATATCTGAGGTGGTATGCAACTTGAACATAAATTCTAAGTCAGTAATTAGCATTATTATACTCACCCTTGTGACAATTTTTGAATAGTCAAGCCAATACTGACTATCCAAAAATTGTCACAAGGGTGTTTTATTGAGTATAATAATGCTAATTACCTATGACTTCATAAAATTGACTGAAAAAGGTACAAGGGCTTGTTATTAAGATGTTTTATCAAGTAAATCAATGCTTTATTATTATGAATGCATAAAAATGTCCCAAAAAGGCACAAACTCTGCAGTAGTTATGGACATAACAGCTTACAAGCAAAACTTTACCAGGAATTTATAAGTTGAAAAAGGGGAGAAAAATCAGCCTTAATGCGAGTAGAGTTTTGGAACTTGGTCAGTGACATACAACAACTATGACCCTCCAATTATGACCCTAAGTACATGTGTAAAGTTTCAAGTAAATATCTTTGAAGACCTTTAACCAAAATTTCTAAGTTTCAAAACAAATAATTCTGCAAATATTGCAGGCAGAGTTATGCGATTTTGCAAACTGATAAACATTGTTACTATAAATAAGTATTGTAAAGTTAAATTGAAAATCTCAAGCAATAATTGAGATATTTGAGTTTACAAAAAACTTTAACCAAAATTTCTAAGTTAAAAGGGGCATAATTCTGTCAATATTGTAGGTAGAGATATCCAACTTGTCAATCTGATGTACATTGATACTATAAATAAGTATTGTAAAGTTAAATTGAAAATCTCAAGCAATAATTGAGATATTTGAGTTTACAAAAAACTTTAACCAAAATTTCTAAGTTAAAAGGGGCATAATTCTGTCAATATTGTAGGTAGAGATATCCAACTTGTCAATCTGATGTACATTGTTACTATAAATAAGTATTGTAAGTTTCAATTGAATATCTCAAGCAATAATCGAGATATTTGAATTTACAAAAAACATAAACCAAAATTTCTAAGTTAAAAAGGGGCATATTTCTGAAAATATTGTAGGTAGAGTTATCAAACTTGTCAATCTGATGTACATTGTTACTATAAGTAAGTATTGCAAGTTTCAATTGAATATCTAAAGCAACTAGAACTATCACTAAATGTGATTAATACCCCCACAAGACTGCTTCGGAAATGAGGATGTTACTAGTAACAGAATACCTTGTAAAAGAATTGAAATATAGAGTTATGGTTGTGGGCAACTACAGATAGTTGTGGTTCTTGTATATTGCATTTCCTTTCAATGTGGTTGACCATTGAAGAAGTTTTATTGAATTACTCTGTAATAAGTCCAGAAATACAAAGAAAAGGAACAAAGGGCAATAACTCTATAAATACTGAAGATGGAGATATAGTTCTTGTGCACTGCACTTCCTCCCTCTTTTTGTGCTTGACCATTGTATGAAGTTGTTTTGAATTTCAACCAGTACGTTTTAAGTTATGCTCCAGACAAGGAAAAGTATCAAAGGGCAGTAACTCTGTATTTTGTCAAAATGGAGTTATGGCTCTTATGCACTGCACTTCCTTTTAATGTCCTTGACAACTGTATGAAGTTGTATTGAATTCCAAACAGTAGTTTTCAAGTTATGCTCCAGACAAGGAAAAGTAACCAAGGGCAATAACTCTGTAATTTGTCAAGATGGAGTTATGGTTCTTGTGCACTGCACTTCCTCTCAATGTGCTTGACCATTGTATGAAGTTATATTGAATTCCAACCATTAGTCTTCAAGTTATGCTCCGGACAAAAAAAGCAATGGAAAAGTAACAAAGGGCAGTAACTCTGTAATTAGTCAAGATGGAGTTATGGTTCTTGTGCACTGCACTTCCTCTCAATGTGCTTGACCATTGTATGAAGTTATAATGAATTCCAACAATTAGTCTCTGGACAAAAGAAAGCAATGGAAAAGTAACAAAAGGCAATAATTCTGTAATTACTTCAGATAGAGTTATGGTTCTTATGCACTGCACTTCCCCTTACTGTGTTTGACAATTGTATGAAGTTGTTTTGAATTCCAACCAGTAATTTTCAAGTTATACCCCAGACAAGGAAAAGTAACAAAGGGCAATAACTCTGTAATTAGTCAAGACAGAGTTATGGTTCTTGTGCACTGCACTTCCTCTCAATGTGCTTGACCATTGTATGTAGTTATATTGAATTCCAACCATTAGTCTTCAAGTTATGGTCCAGACAAAAGAAAGCAATGGAAAACTAACAAAGGGCAATAACTCTGTAATTACTTTAGATAGAGTTATGGTTCTTGTGCACTGCACTTCCCCTTATTGTGTTTGACAATTGTATGAAGTTGTTTTGAATTCCAACCAGTAGTGTTCAAGTTATGCCCCGGACAAGGAAAAGTAACAAAGGGCAATAACTCTGTAATTAGTCAAGATAGAGTTATGGTTCTTGTGCATTGCACTTCCTCTCAATGTGCTTGACCATTGTATGTAGTTAACTGAATTCCAACCATTAGTCTTCAAGTTATGGTCTGGACAAAAGAAAGCAATGGAAAAGTAACAAAGGGCAATAACTCTGTAATTACTTTAGATAGAGTTATGGTTCTTGTGCACTGCACTTCCCCTTATTGTGTTTGACAATTGTATGAAGTTGTTTTGAATTCCAACCAGTAGTTTTCAAGTTATGCCCCGGACAAGGAAAAGTAACAAAGGGCAATAACTCTGTAATTAGTCAAGATAGACTTATGGTTCTTGTGCACTGCACTTCCTCTCAATGTGCTTGATCATTGTATGTAGTTATATTGAATTCCAACCATTAGTCTTCAAGTTATGGTCCGGACAAGGAAAATGCAACGGACATCTGGACCGACCGACCGACTGCCCGACCGACCACCGGGTGACTCCTATATACCCCCCCAAACTTCGTTTTTGGGGGTATAATAATTGAGATATTTGACTTTACAAAAAACTTTAACCAAAATTTCTTAGTTAAAAAGGGGCATAATTCTGTCAATATTGTAGGTAGAGTTATCCAACTTGTCAATCTGATGTACATTGTTACTATAAATAAGTATTGTAAGTTTCAATTGAATATCTCAAGCAATAATTGAGATATTTGAATTTACCAAAAACTTTAACCAACGCAGACGCCGACGTGGACGCTGACGCCGGGGCGACTACAATAACTCTCATATTCTTCGAATAGTCGAGTTAAAAATGTTGTAATGATTTATGTTTTATTGCATAATTATATGCAGTTATATTTCATATTTTTTTGTAACATCAAATTTTATGTTTCAACAGTATTAAATATTAACTGTCCTTTTGCATATTCAAAAATACTAAAGTTTACACAGTATCTTATTTCAGTGCACAAGTGTTTAAGAATTGCTCTGTATAAGAATTAATTAACTGCTTTATTTGTGACACTATTTATTACTGGTTAAATGTATTTTTTCAAGGAAAGATGTTGAATAGTAAAGTATTGAGATTTAAAAATATACCTTTTCAGGATTAATACTGCACATCTTTATTGAAATACCTTGCATCTCACAGTCAGCACTTAAGTCCCATCCTGCAAATATGAGTGTAAAATGTAATGTTAGATTGTTCCATTGGAATTGGAATTTAATTATAAATTTTATTATTAAAGGTCAGAGCACAACCACAAGAAGTTCTAGGAAACAGAGGCAGTGGACTTAAAACAGACATCAATTAAGAATAGTATTTGAATAATTAGAAACATTTGAAACAAATTTATGATTAAAACACTCGCAGCAAAATAATTGCAAAAAATAGTGTTGGATTCTAAGAAAACCAGTACCTACCAAAACCTACAACTAGAAAAAAACTGTTTGTGTTACAAAGAATGTAGCGTATTCTATTCTGTATTTGGACTATAGGATATGTATTAAATTTTATGAAAGAAAATTAATGTGATACATTATTGATAATTTTATCCCAAAAAATGTGATCATGTTAAACTCATAAAAATTCCGCTCCAATGAATTCTGTCGCAGAATTCCGCCCAGAATCTTTTTGACAATTCCGCTCCGAAATTCCACCCCAAGATTCCGCTTCAAAATTCTGCCCCAACTCGTTTGCATATTTTGTCCCAATTCTGCCCAGAATCCTTCCCTTTTCCGCCTGGAATCCAGCCGTAATCCATGCCAAAAGCAAATGGTTTAACACTTGTATATTTGGGGGAGAATTTCATTTCTGGACGGAATCTGCCATTGAATTCTGCCCTATTTACGTGCAGAAAAATTTCGTACAGGTCATGGTGGGAAATTATGAAGTTACCTATGACTGTCATGTATATATGTAGTTTCTGTCATCTTTATCAGATCTGTATCTGCTAGGATAGGTTTCCCTGAAACAACAATCATATTTTTGAGTTGTATTGTAGCTTTAAGTGCAATATGTTATTTCTCCCTCAGATTTCTGCACTTCTCAGTGAGATCTATCTCCCTAAATAGTTTCATGTTTTATACCTTTTATACTTCTCAAGTTATGTCTTGGACAAATTGCAAAGTGGAAAAATGCAAAAAAGGGCAGTAACGAAACAAGAATTCGCTCACCTGTAAATAGCCCCCCCCCCCCAAACGTTGCAGGGCCAATTTTAACCTAAGGGCTTTTATTTGCACAAACTTGGTAGACACCCATAAGAAGATGTTTCATGCTAAACATCTAAGCTCTAGCTCATTGGGCTTTATAAAAGAAGATTTTTTTTAAGTTTTTACTATACACATAATAAATTATAGTTAACAACAATGACACCCCTGGGGCCGGGCCAGTTTTGACCCCAGGGCTTTTATTTGAACAAACTTTGAAGACACTTAATAGAAGATGTTTCATGCTTAATATCTAAACTCTAGCTATTTGGTTTTTTCAAAGAAAATTTTTAAGTTTTTGCTATACACATAAATTATAAGGAAAATCAATGACCCCCGGGGTCGGGCCAGTTTTGACCCCAGGGCTTTTATTTGAACAATTCCTGTACGAAAATTCTGAGCCAATTCTGTACAGACTCTGTACCAACTCTGGTTGTTATAGAGGCAGATTTTCATTTTTCTGTACAGAGTTGACACAGACACAGAATTGGTCACAGAATCGGCCTAGGAAATAGGTGATTTTCTGTGCAGATTTAAACAGAATCAAAAAAATTTCTGTACAGAAAAATTTTCACACAGATATTTTGCTCTTAGTTATTTTTACAAGACAGAATTTCAATACTTAGAAAAAAAATGAGGCAGAATTTACATTGACACACAGAATTTTTAACACTTAGATAAATCTTGAGACAGAATTTTCTTTTCTAGCCAGAATTTCACTCTTGAGTTAATCTCAGAGTTGTAGATATTCTGTAATATCAGGTGTAACCCCCGTTGGTCATTCAAATCTCTCAGGCTGCCACGTGAGGTTTTGTTACATAAAGTGCCTTCATATTGGCAAAGATTATGTTTTGTTTAGTTTATTTATCTTATGATAAGTTAACAAGTTAGTTGTTGTGAACAGCAATCATGTAGAGACTTGAAATTCTCAGACTGAGGGGCCAAAGAGGAATTATGATGGAATTATAATCAAAACCAGAGGTAAGATTTTGCAATGTTTTCTTTGAATTTTTGTGTATACCTTCCACTGATAAAAGAAATTATATATACATCTTTTAATAGTCTATGGATAAATTCCACTATAGATAAAAGAAATTATTTATACATCTTTTAATAGTCTATAGATTATCTATATGAGTTAATTTTACTCTGATTTGAGACAGACCACTATGGTCTAATGAGTATAAAATTTCACTGAGGTCAAAGCTGGGACAGTGAAATTATTAGTTCATAAAAATTAATGCTTTTTGATCAGTTGATAGGTCAAGATATATTTTTCTAAATTTCATATCTTGCTCCTTTATGCAATAAATAGTTTGGCTTTTTGTTTTGCTAATTCATTTAGCTAGTATTAATCAATTCAAAACTCCTGGCAATTGTGTTACTATTTTAAGTTATGTTGCAATTTACATGTGTAGATTTGTAAAACAAGCTTTGATCAGGGATGATATATGTAAACAGTTTTGCTATGTAACTGGGCGCAAAAAAAAAAAACTTAGGTGTATAGGGATACAATTGTAACTGTTTTATATACACATTGAAATATTTTGCATATTTTGCATATCATTTAATAATACAAATTCCTTATTTTTTTTCATTCTTTAGATTATGTCAGGATGTGTGGTGCAAATACAGAGACAAGCCATTTAGTCCTGATGACAGCGCCCTCAACAAAGCCATTACTGTTGGATAGACTACTCCAGGAAAGAAATGAATAAAAATTGTTAATTGAAATTAATAAATAATAAACGTTCAAAAGGAAAATTGATTCTGTTTTTAGCCAGAAAAGAAAATCTGTACAGAATATTTTCTGTACAGAATTTTTTCTGTGCAGAATTCCCTTTCATATATTTTCTATGGACAGGGTTAATTCTGTACAGAATATGAAGAAGCCCAGATTTTTTTCTGCCCAGATTTTTTTTTCTGCCCAGATTTTTTTTTTCTGCCCAGATTTTTTTCTGCCCAGAAAATATTCGGCTTAATTTAAATATTTCAGAAAAAGTCTGTACAGATTTTGTTCTTTATCCTTATTGCTAAAATCTATTAATAGAATTCTGGTTCAACTTTGTTTCATTTAACCAGATTTTTTTTCTGTACAGAGTTTTCTAAATAAAGTCTGTACAGATTCTGTCTGCATTCTGCCCAGACTTTTTCGTACAGGAATACTTAGTTGACACCAATTAGAATATGTTTCATGCTAAATATCTTTTCTCTAGCACTTTGAGTTCTTTAAAAGAAGATTTTTTAAGTTTTTACTTATAATATGCATATAGGGAAAATCAATGACCTTCTGGGGCGGGGCCAATTTTGACCCCAGGGATTTTATTTGAACAAACTTGGTAGACACTAATTAGAACATGTTTCATGCTAAATATTTTAGCTCTAGCTCCTTTGGTTCTTTAAAAGAAAATTTTTTAAAGTTTTTACTATATGCATAAAAGGAAATTCAATGACCCCCTGGGGCGGGGCCAATTTTGACCCCAGGGATTTTATTTGAACAAACTTGGTAGACATTCACTAGAAGATGTTTCATGCCAAATATCTAAGCCTTAGCTCTTAAGGTTCTTTAAAAGAAGATTTTTTAAGTTTTTACTATATGCATATAGGGAAAATCTATGACCCCCTGAGGCAGGGCCAATTTTGACCTCAGGGCTTTTATTTGAACAAACTTGGTAGACACTCATTAGAAGATGTTTCATGCTAAATATCTTAGCTCTAGCTCTTTGGGTTCTTTAAAAGAAGATTTTTTAAGTTTTTACTATATGCATACAGGGAAAATCAATGACCCCCTGGGGCAGGCAAATTTTGACCCCAGGGCATTTATTTGAACAAACTTGGTAGACATTCACTAGAAGATGGTTCATGCCAAATATCTAAGCTCTAGCTCGTACAGTTCTTTAAAAGAAGAATTTTTAAGTTTTTACTATATGCATAAAGGGAAAATCAATGACCCCCGGGGCGGGGCCAATTTTGACCCCAGGGCTTTTATTTCAACAAACTTGGTAGACACTCATTAGAATATGTTTCATGCCAAATATCTTAGCTCTAGCTCTTTGGGTTCTTTTAAAGAAGATTTTTTAAGTTTTACTATATGCATATAGGGAAAATCAATGACCCCCTGGGGAGGGGCCAATTTTGACCCCAGGGCATTTATTTGAACAAACTTGGTAGACACTCATTAGAAGATGTTTCATGCCAAATATCTAAGCTCTAGCTTTTAGGGTTGTTTAAAAGAAGATATTTAAAGATTTTTCTTTCGGTTGCCATGGCAACCAGAGTTCTGCATTGAATTAAATTCTTTGAACAATTTTTAAAGGTGATCACCAAAGGAACATTCCTGTGAAGTTTAGATGAAATTGGCTAAGTGGTTTATGAGGAGATGTCATTTAAAGCAAAAGTTTACGGCCGGACGGACGGACAGACTGCTAGACACCGAACGAAAAGCGATCACAAAAGCTCACCCTGTCACTTTGTGACAGGTGAGCTAAAAATTAGGGTAGGGAGGGTTAGTTCTTCTGCAATGCACTTCTACTCAAGGCTATATACCTCTAAAGTTTCTCATTGATAACCTTTATAGTTCTCAAATTATGTCCAGGAAAAAATTCAAAGTGTTAAAATGAAAAAAGGGCAAAAAAACTTCTAAACTGCACTTCTACTCAAGGCTATATACCTCTAAAGTTTCATGTTGATAACCTTTATAGTTCTCAAATTATGTCCATGAAAAAATTCAAAGTGTCAAAATGAAAAAAGGGCAAAAAACTTCTAAACTGCACTTCTACTCAAGGCTATATACCTCTAAAGTTTCACGTTGATAACCATTATAGTTCTCAAATTATGTCCAGGAAAAAATTCAAAGTGTCAAAATGAAACAAGAGGGCCATGATGGCCCTGAGGTCGCTCACCTGTAAAAAGGCACCTGGAGCGGGCAAGTTTAAAACCCAGGGCTTTTATTTGAAGAAACTTAGAAGACACTCATTAGAAGATGTTTCACAATGTTAAGTTTTTATTACAGTACACACATATAATGAAAAACAATGATCTACTCCCTCCCTCCCCTCCCCCCATCAGGGCCAATTTTAATCCAGGGGCTTTTATTTGAACAAACTTAAAGTAGACACCAATAAGAAGATGTTTCATGCTAAACATCTAAGCTCTAGCTCATTGGGTTTTTAAAAGAAGATTTTTTAAGTTAATTTTTTTCTATACACATATAGTTAAAAACAATGGCACCCCTGGGGTGGGGCCAGTTTTGACCCCAGGGCTTTTATTTGAACAAACTTTGTAGACACTCACTAGAAGATGTTTCATGCTTAATATCTAAACTCCAGCTATTTAAGTTTTTTTTAAAGAAGATTTTAAGTTTTTTGCTATATACATATTAGGAAAATCAATGATACCTTTTATTTGAACAAACTTGGTAGACACCTATTAGAACATGTTTCATGCTAAATATCTTAGCTCTAGCTCTTTGAGTTCTTTAAAAGAAGATTTTTTAAGTTTTTACTATATGCATATAGGGAAAATCAATGACCCCCTGGGGCGGGGCCAATTTTGACCCCAGGGCTTTGATAAACTTGGTAGACACTAATAAGAAGATGTTTCATGCCAAATATCTAAGCTCTAGCTCTTAGGGTTTTCTAAGTTTTCCTATTGGTTGCCATGGCAACCAGAGTTTTTAATGGAATTAAAATTTTTGAACAACTTTGAAAGGGGTCCACGTCAGGATCATTTCTGTAAAGTTTGGTTGCAATTGGCCATGTGGTTTAGGAGGAGATGTTGTTTGAAAAGTTTGACGCCATTTTTTGAAGGACGCATGACGCACGGACGCAGAGTGATGACAAAAGATCACTTTGAGGTGAGCTAAATAGGGCAAAAAACTTCTGAACTGCACTTCTACTCATTCAAATGTATCAGTTTCATGTTGATACCAGGTTATATAATTCCCAAGTTATGTCCCAGACAAAGTTCAAAGTGTAACAGTGAACAAAGGGCAATAACTCCAAAATAAGAGAAGGGAGGATAACTGTTATTATACACTGCACTTCCACGCAGTAATGCACTTCTTCTCAATAAGATCTATCATTCTACGTACACAGTTTCTTGTTAATACCCCTTGTGGTTTTGGAGTTATGTCCCAGACAATTTTTAGTTCTAAGTGTAAAAGTAAACAAAGGGCAATAACTCCAAAATTAGGCAAGACAGAGTTATGTTTTTTTTTCACTACACTTCTATTCAATGTTATCTATCTATCTACAAAGTTTCATGTTAATACCTCTTATAGTTTTAGAGTTATGTCATGGACCAAATTTAAAGTATAAAAATAACAAAGAGCAGTTATTCCAAAATAAGGCAAGGCAGAGTTATGTTAACTTGCCCATGCGTCACATCAACTGACTTCTTAAAGGGACTCCACTGAGGTTTTTTGACATGATGGGACTAAAAATATTTTTTCCAGATAAATGTACCATTTGATGTAAGTTTAGGCCACTAATCTTTGTGCAAAATTTCAGATCATTCCAAATTAAGTTTTTCCAGAATAATTATTCAAACTGTAAAAAAATCACTGAAAATTAAAAAGCATTTAAATGCTTTTCACTCAAATTGGGCAAGGAACAGCATAAAAATACGATTTTCAATTTATTTCAAAGTACATTAATTTCTTAACTATCTTTGCATATATTTCTGTGCCCATGGAAGCTCATTTTATGTGTTATGTTTTAGGTTTTTAAACCTGTCAAGTGTGAACGTAGCCTTGTGATGTCAAAAGTGTTAACAATATGCAATACTGTATAAGTGGATTATTTTTGCGTCACAAAAATTTTGCAGAAATATTTGTCATAATCAAGCAGGAACATGTAAAGAATATGTCATTTTTGTCATCATTCTATACAGTAACTTTACATCTTTATTATTCATATAATTGTTTAAAATGTACATTTCTTTGTCATATTTTGAAACATTTTTAAACATTTATATAAATGTAATTGAAAAACCTGTGACCGTTGCATTAAGGAACTCCACTGAGTTGTTTTGACTTGACGGGACTAGAAATATTTTCCCAATATTTAGGAATCATTTGATGTAGGCCTAGACCAATAACTTAAAGTGTGCTTATTTACAGATCATAACAACAACTTCTTATACCAGAATCACCATTATTAATGAGCAAAATGCAAAGCGTTGCAACACTTTTCGCTCAATCGGGCTACAAATTACACAAAAAAATGGATTTTCAATTTAATTTCAGGCATACACTTTTGTCAGCCTTTGCATATTTTTCCATTTTAACTGCTTCACTTGATCTATGTACAAATAAATGTTTTATGTTTTAATGTTTTTTGATCTCAGTGGAACTCCTTTAAGTGACAATTTTTTTTTGTTTCCCTTCAATACGCTTAATTGTATTAGTAACTTATGACAATTTCATTATCAAATTTGCCTCAATTTTCAATTTTGAGTTTAATAAATTAATCTTATTATATTGAATAGTTAAAAAAAAAATAAATACAAAAATTTACTTCTTTATTGATTTTAACACTTTGCAAATCAATTTAAACACATACACATGTTAAATCCCGATGGCCTAATTTGATCTGTTAATGAAGATATTTCAGATGACTTATCAATCTTTTTATTATAACTTCTTAAAAGTTTGGTTATTTATTTTCACCACTTAATCATCAATCTTGACTTAAAATGTGATTAATGTGTACATGTCCAAATTGTTAGGCATAAATATTTATTCCTACCTTTTTTCTTTGTTCAACTAAATAGTGTCCATCTATCATCACTCTACAGTATTTAGTGAGCTGTCTGTCCAAAGTTATTGACATCTGTAATAACAAAATATAAATCAGATTTCCAAAAGGAAAATAGATTTCTGCATGAGGATTAATGTGTCTTTAAAAATTGGATGAAAACTAGACCTATCACTGAAGGTGATTAATACCCCCACCAGCAACTTTTTGAAAAATAAGTAGTCTGAAGAAAAATTTCAACACAAACTATCAACTGTGTACAAAGAAATATTTCAAATAATTGTAATCCCAACTGGGGTCTCCAAATAAGCTTGCTTTTCACAAAGTTTGATTACAATATCTCATTCCTAACTCTAGTTATTGTCCGGAAACCATTTTTCTATTTTAAGGAATGTTGACCTTGACCCCAGGGAGTCCAAATGCAATACCAACCCAGGTCTTCATATAAGCTTGCTATACACCAAGTTTGATAACAATATAACATTCCTAACTCTAGTTATTGTCCGGACAACATTTTTCTATTTTTAGCAACAGTGACCTTGACCTTGACCCCAGGGGGTCCAAAAACATTACCAACCTAGGTCTTCATATAAGCTTGCTATACACCAAGTTTGATTACAATACCTCATTCCTAACTTAAGTGATTGTCTGGAAACCATTTTCCTATTTTTAGTAACGGTGACCTTGACCTCAGGGGGTCCAAATGTGATACCAACCCAGGTCTTCATATAAGCTTGCTATACACCAAGTTTGATAACAATATCTCATTCCTAACTCTAGTTATTGTCCGGAAACCATTTTTCTATTTTTAGTAACAGTGACCTTGACCCCAGGCCCCGTGTTCACAAAGAAAAGATCAGGATCAGGATCAACTGATCCTGATTTTATTTTCATTGTTTTATAAAACTAAAACTGATCGTATTATGCTATAATTAAATGGTACTTATTCGAAATAAAAATAATTGCTTATTTGCAAAGAAACCAACCTATTTTAGGATAAAATCAACAAATAACAAAACAAATACAAAAAAAATCGGATCAAAATGAGGATCAATTTTAGGATCAAGATCAAAATTTGGATCAACTGTAAAATGCCCGTATCTTGTAAAAATAACAATAAATTTATTCTAAAATTTCATAAACATGCTATTTCAAATCCAGTTTTATCAAGTTAATATGGAATATTTAATCTATGATGAAAAATGATGGAGATTGTTTGAGTTTTTGAATTTGATCCTGATCTTGATCCTGATCCTTAAATCTTTGTGAACACTGGGCCTGGGGGTCCAAATACAAAACCAACCCAGGTCTTCATGTAAGCTTGCTATACACCAAGTTTGATTACAATAACTCATTCCTGAACTCAAGTTATTGTCCGGAAGTCATTTTTCTATTTTTAGTAACCATGACCTTGACCTTGACCCCAGGGGGCCTAAATGCAATACCAACCCAGGTCTTCATATAACCTTACTATACACAAAGTTTGATAACAATATCTCATCCCTAACTCTAGTTATTGTCCTGAAACCATTTTTCTATTTTTAGTAACGGTGACCTTGACCTTGACCCCAGGGGGTCCAAATGCAATACCAACCGGAGTTTCCACATAAGGTTGCTATATACCAAGTTTGATTACAATACATCATTCCAAACTCTAGTTATCGTCCGGAAACCATAATGTGGACCGACCGACCGACGGACCGACAAGCTGACTCCTATATACCCCCCCTAAACTTCATTTGTGGGGGTATAATAAGCAACCACACAAGCACTCCCTATATCATTTCTGGGATGATCTATTAATATAATTGTAAACATGCATATACAACTTTATGTATAACTTGGTTTAATTTAAGGTGCATTAACCTTTAAAGCATATTTGAACAAAAGAGTAAAAGGTAACTTAAAAATTAAACATTGCTTTTATAATGATTGATAAATGTATTGATTTGTTTTGTTTTTCCTTTTTTCTTCTTTGGTTTGGTTATACATGTATGTTACACCAGCTCAGTAAAGGTCATATGGTTAGTTTTTAGCTTTAATGGTAAAGAAAGGACACACCTTCAATGCATTATTTCAGGCAGGAAGTAGAACCATTGACGTTTTTGGAAGCTAGCATGGCAGCTTCCTCACAAGAAAGAAATAAAATCCCTTTCATGATTCAAACCCACAGCAGGTGTGTACCAAGTGGTTTGAAGTCAACCACTTAAACAACTTGTTCACTTATAAATGTATTGCAATCATATCAATATAAATATACATGAAAATATATTGCAATATAATTGAATTATATACCATAATTACTTGCAATACAGTGGCTTGATACTAATGTTACTTTAAAAAGTGATTCCAAATTGTACCCAGTGAGTTTAACTTTGAACATGCTAGAACAGTCAACTGCAAATGATTTGTCTTAATTAGTTGCCAACATTAAAAGCTGTCAGTCTGCACATCCATACACTTACAAACTTGCCTTCATGATTTCAGTTGGCCATATTCCCTAGCTATGAATGATAACTCATTTTTCCCTGTCTAAAATTCCACCAAATCAGTCCCCTTTTAAATGAACTCAAAGATTTAGAGACCTTTTCTTAAGATTTTGTATTTATTAATTCAATTTTTTGTCAAGAAACTGATTTTTTTTTTTAACCTTATATACTTTATTTTCTATCTATATATGGGTGCTATGGTAAACATATGAGTTTTGATGGTTTTGTTTGTTTGTTTGGATTTTTACGGCAGGTCAACACATAACTGACCATATCATGCCGAATGCTATAATAGGCTTAAAATGTAAAACTTTGTAAAAGAGTTTTGATGATAAACAAAGGAATATTCTGGACTGTAAGTAATCAAACACACCGTGTCCGGTCATCACATGTAAACAATATTTAAAATGGGAAAGAATATTGAGATATTTATTTGACAATGCAAAATATTAATATGGAAAACAACTATGTGTAGTTTATGTGTGTTGTTTTGATTTGTTTGACTGACATACTAGTTGTAAAAGCCATGTACACTAAGTGTAGCAGCAGCCAGACACATGACGCTTCGTAGCAACCACGTTGAAAACGTGAATGGTAACTGAGATAATGGCAAAGCGCATGCTCACGCACCCACTTCCACTCTAATCAAATACTGCATATATATAAAGCAAAAGTTCTTATTTAGTGCCATACAGTCTGACCACTATCATAAATGTTGGTATTTTAATTTGTAGGACAAATTCAGCATACAAAAATTCTGCATGTGAAAGGTACTAAGTTAGATAAAAAAACAAAAACAACATTGTTATTACCTTCTTCTGGTAAAGGGTAATCAGAAAACAGTCCTCCATGGAGCATTCTACAGTATCATCTGAGCTGTTTGAAAGTCAAGAATTATCTGTAAAAGAAAAATATTAAAACAATATTTAAAATAAATGGTAGTTACTTAATAATCTAAATCTGAGCATCAATCTCTTATTATTTGTCTCAACATTAAGTATTTGTTTATACAATTTAAATTCCATTTGAAACATATGTGATACGAAAACTTTAATCATTATCTACAGCAGCTTCTGCTACCAGTATACAGACAGACCCTGTCTGACCTGAGCTTCTGCCACCAGTATACAGACAGACCTGTCTTCCACCAGTATACAGACAGACCCATCTGACCTGAGCCTTTGCCACCAGTATACAGACAGACCTGTCTAACCTGAACCTCTGCCACCAGTATACAGACAGACCTGTGTGTACATCATTTTACTCTGTATGGAGGTCCATATTTTTATAATGGCTCAGTTTGTGTATTTTAATACTGAAATCCCTTAAACTTTAATAATATACACTCCCAAAGTCAAAGCAGGGTAAATCAATGGTACAAGTTTATCAAGATTATTCAAGGTTAACCTATTAGAATTATCTTAAATCTGGTGAAGCAGAAACCAAGTAGCTTCCTGTAACAAGCATGCAGATTGACAATGGCTCATTTTTGTACTCAGAAATCTATTACACACTGAATACACTTTTCCAGTAATTATCCATCACACAAATTTAGCAAGTTTAAGGCAACCTAAACAGGTTTTAAACAGAGCTTAGAAAATTTTCTTTCGTCAATTCCAAAATGTTCTATTTTCAATTTTTTGAAAAATTGAGATATTTATAGCATTGGAAAGCTGTTGAAGAGACCTACATAAACAAATGACTTAAAACATTATATCTCTAATTTTGAGAAAGGTTATACCAATTTCATTATGTTCTATCTCAGAAAGTGACCAACACTTTGATTCCAATATGTGAATATCTTAGGAAAATTCTTAAAATTGGGAAAAGGTCATCCACTATGAATCAACAAAGTGAAACATTAAAAAAGAAGATGAAAAAAAAAGATAATTCAGGTTCGAAATTCAGCGTTGTGTTTTGTTGTGTTTACAAAGCAAATGCTAATACCACTGACATAATTTGTTCCTTATTAACAATTAGCTCTTATTTTTCTTGTTGTATTAGACCAGAAAGGCTCAGAAAAAATTATGAACTGTTATATTTTTTCAGATTGCATATAAAATTCATTATATTTGATCTAGAAAGTGAAGATCCATGTATGTATCAAAATCAATGTTATAAGACAGTTTTTTTCCACATTTGGACATCAAAAAGTTGTTTTATTCAATCTTTTGTTAGTAAATTTTATTGCATAAGTTTACGCAGAAATAAATAAAATAGAACATTGTGTTTCACATAAGTTTTGTTTCGTTACGTCTAAAATGTTTTATCTTTGAAGGACATTCTGGAATTAATTTGAAATGTTGAACTTTAACTTTATTGTAACTTTATTGTTTTAGAATTCTGATTTAATAATAAAATACCCTGAATATTAAAAATGCATGCATGCTCAAATGTATACACAGATGGCATGTACCAAAAAAAGAAAGTTTCATGTTGAATAATTGTTGAGATATGATACCTAAAAATTTTCAACTCAGTTTTCTCATAAAATATTTCTGTCCACTTAGAATGTTATGGAATTGAGGTGATGATAAATGATGAAGTGTACAAATAAAGTGTGATAAATGGAAGTTAAATTATATACCATTCCATGAATCAGAAAAAAATCATCTATAGTTGGTATGGTTTATATCTTCTTTGTGTGAAGTCAAAACATGTTTATTTTATATTCATAATGAGACTGTGTAGCAATTATTATCAATATGTTTTAAAATTAAATTTGAGCATAGTATGTATATAATCAAAAGCTGTTGGTAGGATAACAATGACACTGAACTAGTCTTCAAACAAGAGCATGGATAATGTAAAAATCAACAAAGAGGTGATTTCATTTTAGAAAAAAATACACAACAGTTACCGGAGGTTTTGGATATTGATCATAAACTAGAAATGTGTCATCATGCCACGGATGCCCCCGCATGCAGCCAAAATTTCAAATGTTATAATATTTAGTTCCAAATTTGTTTGAACAAATTATTTTTTTCATTCTAATGTGACGCCGTAGTCGTTGGGGCGTTTCTCTTTAACCCGTATCTCTATATAAAAGTAAGACGATAGTTTAAGAAATAATTCCAACTTTATTTAGCAGTCACAATTTCGTTATGTCAATATACAGTATTACGCATAAGGTGTATCAATATTAAAATAATACAATTTCAATGCATATGTAATTATGTATATTAAACAGAGAAGATTGAAATAACATAAAGTTATATAACAAAATAAACAATTGACTAATTAACTAATATTGTACATACTAAATGAACATATTTCATTTTCAAAAATTTAAGCTTTAAAACAAATTAACAAACTATTTTATTGGGAAATTAGTCTATATTAATAGAACAATTTTATACTTTTCAAAAACAACTAATTTTGGGGAAAAGCTGTTTTATTTAAACACTCGCTTAACAAGTAAGAAGTACCAAGGGAAAGCATCCATGAAGATAAGATTATAATGATTGACTTACAAGCATGAAAACAAAAATTAAAGTCTTAAGATTAAGTATAAACATTTCTTTTGAAACCTTATGTCAAGTATATCCAAAAGAGTCAGTAAATTGCATTACTTGACACAAATCTATCTTCATGTATGATATCAAAATAAATTGAAAATTCCTCTTAAAAGAAATAGTAGAATGTACAAAATTCATGTTCATTATATCTATGTACAAAAACATTTACTATTCAATATTGCTACATGAAAATTATTTGAAACAAGAGTTTATTGTAAAATGAAAAATTTACTTTAAACAAGAAAAGAATAATAAAAGAGAACTTACCTATATAAAAGTAAGACGATAGTTTAAGAAATAATTCCAACTTTATTTAGCAGTCACAATTTCGTTATGTGACTTGCAAACTTCGTCTTGACTTTTATACAGGTAGATTATGACATTGAGCCCTACAATGCTTTTAGCACCATATGTTTTTACATTTGCAAACAATATGGCTTAATCAGTCAAACAAAGAAAAAGGAAATTCTTACATGATAGGTTATTTGTAGACTTTAAAAAAGCTTTTGATATGGTATATAGGAATGGTATTTGGTATAAACTAATGCAATATAATTTTTCTTCTAAATTTATTACTATGTTAAAGTCTATGTATAACTCTGTGAAAATTTGTGTAAGGGTGCGAGGTAATGTTACTGATTATTTTGATAGTTATATGGGCGTTAAGCAAGGCGAAACATTGTCTCCCTTGCTTTTTATACTGTTTATAAATGACATGGAAAGGTATATTGCTGATAATAGGGCTGATACAATAACTTTAGAAGAATTGCAAATATTTATGCTGATGTTCGCAGATGATACTGTGTTGTTTTCATATTCGTCTAATGGCTTGCAAATATTATTGAATAAATTAAAGTCATATTGTTTAAAGTGGAATGTCACTGTAAATACTACAAAAACAGTTGCTATGATTTTTAAATTAGGAAATAGGTTTGAGCAAGTTGATTTATATTATGATGATGTAAGGTTAAATGTTGTTAGTAAATTTTGTTATTTAGGTGTAGTTTTGACAGGAAATGGTAAATTTTATAATGCTCAAAAAGCTTTATCAGAACAAGCACTTCGTGCCATATTTACATTGAACTCCTTATTTGATGTTGTACCACTAGGTGTTAACGAGAAGATTAAACTATTTGATTCAATGATTTTACCAATATTAAATTATGGATGCGAAATATGGGGATTCCATAAGGCCCTTGATATTGAGAGGGTATATATTAAATTTTGTAAACAATTATTATGTGTAAGGTCTCAAACTACAAATATAGCTGTTCTTGGTGAACTGGGTAAAGTTCCATTAGATGTGGTTCGTAAAGGGAGAATATTGATATATTGGTATAGAATTTTGAACTCCCAAGATACATTGATATATAAATGTTTCATCAATCAAGTTAATACTAATTCATTGGGATCTTGGGCTTCGGGTGTGAAAAATCTGCTTGATGAACTAGGTTTTAGTTATTTATGGAATGATATGTCTGTCACTAGAGTTCAAATAGATAAAGTTGTTGAGAGATTATATGATCAATATTATCAAGTTTTTTATAGTATGTTAGATAATATGCCTAAACTAAGTACATATAAGAAAATTAAAACAAACATATGTCAGGAAAAATATTTATCTTGTGTTGTTAATAATAATCATCGTATTGCTCTCTCAAGATTACGCTGTTCAGCACATAAATTAGCTATTGAGGAAGGTAGATTTCGAAATATAGAACGTTGTAATAGAAAATGTGTGTATTGTAATATGAAGGTAGTAGAAGACGAATATCACTTTGTATTGGTCTGTCCGTTTTATAGAGATGAAAGAAAAGAATGCCTTCCAAAATATTATTGCAATTGGCCATCTTTACAAAAATTTAAAGGATTGTTAGCTTCAAATCAAACAAGTATTCTGTGTAAACTTGCAAAATTTATTTATATAGCAAATAAGAAACGTACCGGATGATATACTTTATTTAGAAATATGTGTTAGTTACCTATTTCAATGATCATGTATTTGTATTTTACAATGTAGCCACATGAAACTAATTGATCTCATACATTGGCCTTTTTATAACAAGAAAAAAAATGATAACATTATATGGCACTGAATTCACGTGCAAAATCAAACTAACATGTATATCATGCATATGACAGTAAAGTATCCACCAATCGACAATCAACACGATAATGTAGGTCTGTGTATCAAATCAATTTTTTCCTGTTATTTTTGGTTTTTGGTGTTGTGTTTTTTTCGTTACTGTTTATGTTTTATATAAACATTGTGTGGGATATATGTCGATATAACGATACTACTATGTACACATGCTATTGATGTATTAATGTTAATATATGTTGATAGAATAATACTACTAATATACACATGATATAGATGTATTAATACTCATGCTCTTCTCATGTTGTATGTAACCGCCGCAATTGAATGTTTGGCGATGAACATGTTTATGTTTATATGCTAATAAAATAATTGAAAATTGAATTGGTTATCACTTTGTCCAGAAGGTAATTTACTTAGTCTGTCACTTTAGCACCCTTGTTCCTGTTGCTCAATCTCACAGGCATTTGGACAAAGATTTAATACAAACTAAAGTATTTACATTTAATTGTGTTAATCAAGATGTTTTATGGTTTCAAAAAAACTTGCTAAAAGCGTAACAGCTTGTCTCTACTTTAGTGTCAAAAAGAGTTATGTAAAAATTTACAAGATCTTAAGAAATAGAAATAAAGAACAATTACAAATTATCAAAGTTTGAAATGTACAGTCAAGTAATTCTTCAAAACTATAATAAAATATTTCATAAAAATGACAAATTAAACATAATCATACATACAAGAAATATTCTGAATTATCATACATTATTACAATATATTGAAAAACAGATTTAAAGCAATTCATAATATATACATGTATATAAAAAAAAAGATTATTTATAAAACAATTCTTATAATAATTTCATATGATTTATGATATGAAATTATTACGTAATACAAAAGTATGGACAATTTCTTGGCTTTCTAATACTAAGTTCAAAGCCCTTAAAACTTTTCAATGTTAACACAAACCATTTTTATACAATGTTCAAGGCACTGAAATTATTCAGTCTTAACCATTTTTATACAATGTTCAACGCACTGAAATTATTCAGTCTTAACCTTTTAAAAATAGCATATTGCATATTTGTAGCCAACATAATGGCTATATACATTTCCACAAAAGTATGAGTGCTGAAACTGAAAGTTCAAAATTTTTCCAACATTCAGGAAAGATAAGTTTGTCTAAAATCATTGAACCACGACCAAATTCAAACTTAAACTGCTTATTCCTAAGATGTATCTATATTATTTTCAAAGTGAAAGGGACATAACTCTGCCAAAAAATCATCGAACCATGACCAAATTCCAACTTGACCTGCGCATTCCTTTGACATATCCATATGTCAATTTTGAGTTGAATATGTAACACTGTTGGGTTGATAATGAACAGAAACTGTAAATTTCATATCATTTTCAAAGTGAAAGGGGCATTACTCTGCCAAAAATCATTGAACCATGACCAGATTCCAACTTGGTCTGCACATTCCAAAAACATATCCATATGTCAAATTTGAGTTGAATGTGTAATATTGTTGGGGAGATAATAAACGGAAACTGAAAATTTCATATTATTTTTAAAGTGAAAGGGGCATTACTCTGCCAAAAATCATCGAACCATGACCAAATTTGAAATTGACCTGTGCATTCCTTTGACGTATCAATATGTCAAATTTGAGTTGAATGTTTAATACTGTTGGGGAGATAATAAACAGAAACTGAAAATTTCATATTATTTTCAAAGTAAAAGGGGCATAACTCTGCCAAAAATCATCGAACCATGACCAAATTTGAACTTGGCCTGCGCATTCCTTTGACGTATCGATATGTCAAGTTTGAGCTAAATGTGTTGTACGATTGGGGAGATAATGAACGGAAACTGAAAATTTCATATCATTTTCAAAGTGAAAGGGGCATAACCCTGCCAAAAATCATTGAACCATGACCAAATTTGAACTTGACCTGCGCATTCCTTTGACGTATCCATATGTCAAGTTTGAGTTGAATGTGTTGTACCATTAGGGAGTTAATGAATGGAAACTGAAAATTTCATATTATTTTCAAAGTAAAAGGGGCATAACTCTGCCAAAAATCATCGAACCATGACCAAATTTGAACTTGACCTGTATTTTCTCATGACATATCAATATGTCAAGTTTGAGTTGGATGTGTTGTACCGTTGGGGAGATAATGAACGGAAACTGAAAATTTCATATTATTTTCAAAGTAAAAGGGGCATAACTCTGCCAAAAATCATCGAACCATGACCAATTTCGAACTTGACCTGTATTTTCTCATGACATATCCATATGTCAATTTTGAATTGAATGTTTTGAACCGTTTGGGAGATAATGAACGGAAACTGAAAATTTCATATTATTTTCAATGTAAAAGGGGCATAACTCAGCCAAAAATCATCGAACCATGACCAATTTCAAACTTGACCTGTATTTTCTCATGACATATTCATACGTGAAATTTGAGTTCAATATGTGCAAGGGTTATTAAGATAATGAACGGAAACTGATGATGACGGAAGGACGGAATGACGGAACAGGGTAACACTATATGCCCCTGCCATTATATGGCGGGGGCATAAAAAAGAATTTAGGTTCACGAATTTTCATCTAAAAGGGGCCAATCAAATTAATATGAGCAAACTTGATAAAAGACTACCAAAGGATGCTACAGACAAAGTTTGGTGATCATCCATCAATTAGTTTTTTAGAAGAAGATGTCTAAAAGTTTTCTATTTTTAGCTCTAGAGACCCCTAAAAGGGGCCAATAAAATTAATTTGGGCAAACTTGATAAAAGACTACCCAAGAATGCTACAGACAAAGTTTGGTGATCATTCAAAAATAAGTTCTGTAGTAGAAGATATTTAAAGGTTTTTCTATTTTCAGCTCTGTTGACCCCTAAAAGGGGCAATTGAAATGACATGAGCAAATTTAAGTGTGACTGTCACAAGGACACTACAGACCAAATTTGAAGTTAATCTGCCCAGCTGTTTCAGAGAAGAAGATGATTGTTGATGCATGACGCCAGAGCATCCCCCTTTGATACTTATAGCTCAACCTGAACCTTCAGGGGGCAGGGGACCTAAAAATGAGCAATTTTTAGTTCCGTGAGGCCGTTAAACACATTACCAAATATTTTTTGATTTTATAAACATGTGAAAAACTTACTGCTTGGCAGTATTCAAGGATATATGACAAACATTGAAAAAAATAACTATCTGCATCCATTGCTCCATATAGTACAATCTGAGAGCAAATAATATTACCCCCCACCCATCCAAAATCAGGCTGAAAATAAAGGAATATGCCCAATCTTCATGAAGACGCATAACACTTAAGAATCCGCCTAATGTCTTTAATTATAGAAATTTTCTATAGTAAAATGATCATAAAGTATGAAAATGCTAAACAAAGTGTCTGTCATACGTTTAGATTTTTTGCAAAATTTTATCAAAGTTTCTTACTCGTTCTGTAGCAGATGACAATCTGAAATTTACAGTTTTTCAGCCTCCTTTTGAAGAGTCAAAAATGCATACAAAGCTACCGAAGGCTAAGTTTCGCACACAAACATATAAATTTAGCTCATTTCCTACATACAAATTACAAAGAATTACATCAACAAAGAAATATAAACAATTTTCAACACCTTCAAAACACCATGTCTGTATTATCAATAAATTTCACCGGGGCCAAAGTACGAATATGTCCCCTGCCCCCTTAAGTATTTTTATGTGCTCCCAATTGTCATATTTGCTGTTGTTTTATTGAAATATAGACAATTCTGAATAAAATGGTATATTTGAAATTTGAATAGTGTGTTTATATCTTATTTTATCCCAGTTTTTAGAAAAAAGGTCTAATTTCAAGGGAAATAACCAGTACAATGTCCATTTCTGTAGTATGACTGATTTTCTTCTAAGTGACAGAAAAACTATATAGATGCCTTTTTTCCTGGTTTCAGCACATTTTAAGACCCAAAGCAATCTTTTTTGTTATTTCAAGCATTATATTACATGATTTTCACCAAAAAATCAAGCATGCAGCTCTATTTCCATGCACAAAATGATGTACACTGCAAATTAGACCTCAATATATATATTATATGAAGATATACTTCTATGACTGGAATGAGCACTGATTAATTTAAAATATATAATGTTCATATAAATATATAGTCATATTGCTAAAATAATGCACTCTTAGTTCATTTTTAAAGGTAATTATTTTCAGATTTAAATATATTAAACAGCTTGGCTGTATTAGAGTTTACAATGACAAAGTAAAAGGGAGATAAGTACTATAATTCCAAAGTTTACCTTTCTGCTTATAACGGTCAAAAGAAAGACAAATAGTAGTTATTCCTTAATGACCTGACACTGTTTACTTCATTTAAGACTCTTAAACACAGAAAAATAAGAAACATAAGAATATTGTCCCCAAACAAATCTTTGCCCAGCTTCAGTATCAATAAGCACTTTGGGTTGCATGTACAATTAAGTTAATAATGAGACAAATTAAAAAAACTTCAAATTTAAGTTATAAGCACAATGTTGCTAGGCGAGCAAAAGGCGCACTGTTTAAGAAAGGTTTTTATCCAAACTATGACATTAACAACAGTGTTCATTCAGCATCTTGTTCCAGAAATGTGGATTTACCAATTAACCAGTGTCCGGAATCTTTTGTGCGTCTTGAGCAATCAGTTGCGGATGATGTACTAAATGCTGCTGGTCAAAGACTTAATTCCTCAGTTCTGCCATTCAAGTTACGCCCACGCCGCGCACAGTCAAAGCCTGAAAGTGTGAAGGACAGTGAGTTAGCATGTGAAGGAAGCAATGAAAATTTCATTGTTAACTCTAAGAAGCTAGGCTGCATTCTGCAATTAGTGGCAAAACATAGCTGTATTCAGCCTAATATTAAAACTGTAGTGTCTGACAGAAGGGGGGTGTGTGTGGAAGTCACCATTAAATGTACCAACTGTAACTTTACAACAGGGGCTCAGTCCTTGTCCCAAACGATAGAACAGCGGCATGGGAAACCAAGTGGGACACTTAATTCTAGTTTGCTATTGCCAGTTATGTCATCTAAGATGGGCATTGCTGATGTGCAGCTTGTCTTAGCATGCCTTAACATTCAAGCACCAGATAAGAGGGGAATGCAAAGAAAACTGAACATTATGTCAGATCAAGTGGAAGATATTTGCCAGGATCAAATGTTAAAAAATCAGGAGTATGTCAAGACTATTACTCACTTGTCTGGAGCCTCTGCTGAAACAGATGTGGAATTCGATGCATCTTACACAAGCAGGCCACAAGCAAACAACATCACTGCCACACAAGTTTTCGCGCCTGTAATTGAAAAATCTACCTTAAAACATCTACCTATAGACATTAATGTTGGAAATAAATTATGCATGAGGAAAGAATGTGATCACAACAACAAGCATTGCAAAAAGAACTATTCTGACCACACATCAATAAATCAAGCTGAATCAGCATTCCTTAAAAAAATCACTAGAAAAAAATTAAAAAGCAAAATATTATAAAAGTTCGATCCGTCACGACAGATGCAAGTTTATCTCTCGCTAAAGCTATTAGAGAGCATAATGTTAAGACAAGCACTAAAGTGCAACACTATAAATGCTTTGTCCATGCAATGCGGAACATGCATAAGCAGCTTCGTGCAGCCAAAATCAAGGTCCCAAGAGGCATGGACCTTGCCGCATACAGGGCAAAATTGGCAACAAGTATTCGTATTCGTGTACGATTGGAACTTACCAGAATGCAGAAACTCTTTCACCAGCAAGATCAGTACATACAGAGAGCCAGAGATGCTATTGAAAACATTCTGGACTGTTTCAGTGGAAGCACAATGGTTGCCGCCGGAAGTCAGTGGTTTGCCAGGCACGCCTAAAACAGCAAAAACAACGCATCTATTTGCCATATGGACGAAATCTTCAGTTATCGTCATGTGACATGAAAACATTATCAAAACATAATAAATAAGTACTGCGGTGTTCAACAGCTGAGAGATACAGCAAAGCTGGCAACAAACAAATATGTGTGAAAGCATGCATAGGCCGAATGTTTTCATATGCCCCAAAAAGCACTGTATGGAGCCGTAACTTTTCCGGCCTATGCCACTCTGCTACTATCGGTGCCAGTATAGGTCGAGGACTGTCACTCCTAAAACTGGCGGAAAAATTGGGTGTGTCAAGGTTCGAACCGATGACCCGCTGTTTAAGTATGCAATGTACATGCAGCAGAACAGCACGTTACCATACCTTAAGGAAGAAAGAGACATTCTACAAGACCGCAAAATATCGCAGCAAACAGAGGCGTTCGAGTAGAATGTTACTACAAAGCTCTCTGTATTCATCACAGTCAGCATCTGTGGGAAGACCACATGTATGCTATAATCTTAATAAATAAAAGACATTACAAATATAAACTTGCAAATTACATACATTACAAATTGTCGGCACTATCTATAAAATATTTTACTTCAAATAAATTGTCATTACGGCTAAATGATTTCGACATCGGAATGGTAATGTACTGTGAATCTGACAATAACGAAATAAAATGGGCGCACTCACAAATCGGTTCAATATGCGCATTCTTTTTGGTCTTTTTAACAATGGAAAATTAATTTGAACTAATTAAAGAGAAATTTATTACATGTGTGAAATCAGTATGTTGTGTTTTTGATTTTCAGTTTCAATAAATATACTGTATTGTTGACCATTGCTATTTTCCCTCACTGATTCTACTCTTAAATTGTCTCATTTGTGTCTTAATTGTAACAATAAACAACCAAAAATGAATAAACTTCTGAAAACTGCAAAAACAATGTGTTCATTTATCATAATGCAAAGTAAACAGTGTCAACTATTTGCACATACCTTAAAGTCTACAAGCTGGATAGCCATAATGACCAGTACAAACCCCCTCATTAAAGCAAACTTTCCTTGCATTGTTAACACCCTGAGGCTCATAATTTAAAGTGATTCAAATTTAAACATAATTTATTATGACACAGGTGTGATACATGTATTTTCGGGTCAAGAACCTGACCAGTTTCTAAAAAAATACACCGCACGGTGAACCCTAACTTTTACCCTGCGCCCTCGAAGCATAAAACGTAGCTGGCCGTAGCCATCTGTGTCCACCGTACCATGCCATTTCAGGCAATTACCAACAGACACAGATTTTTTGTCAATAACTGACATAATATGTGCTTTTTTCATCACTTGTTAAAGATAAATTAAAATAGAAAACTGGCCATTATGACTGTTTCTAGTGAAAATAAAAAAATAATTAGTTGTTAGGCTATAATAACTAGGATTTTCATATAGAAAAAATGTAAATGAGAAGACATTTCTACAAAAAATTAACCTTTAAGGCATCAAAACTGCCTAAATTATATGTTAAAATGTTAATTTGAGCAATACAAAGCTTTTCTATAATCAATAAATATGCATTTTCATGATGCTTGGGTAACTGACAAATTTTTTGTCAATTTTCAGTGTATTTATTACCTCCCTTTAATAAACAGGCCATTTGCTTTTCAAGAAGTAGGTTAAATCCAATTAATTGGTATAAAATAAATGTTAATAAGTGTCTTGCAAATGTTTTGCAGTAAAAAAAAATTGCTAATTTCAAAAAACATTTTCAAAAAATGAAATTTTCCTTAAGGGGGCAGGGACCTAAAAATGAGCAATTTTTAGTTCCGTGAGGCCGTTAAACACATTACCAAATATTTTTTGATTTTATAAACATGTGAAAAACTTACTGCTTGGCAGTATTCAAGGATATATGACAAACATTGAAAAAAATAACTATCTGCATCCATTGCTCCATATAGTACAATCTGAGAGCAAATAATATTACCCCCCACCCATCCAAAATCAGGCTGAAAACAAGATTGCATTTGAGAAAAATGCTATGCCACCGCATTAATAGAACACTAAATAGTAGTGTGTAGGAACGGATTTTTTTTGTTTCTATACAATTTTGAAGATTGTTCATAATGCATAGATCCCTGACCTATCTAATTCTTATTATCAGATTAGTGGTTAAATCTGTTGTTAACTCAATAAAAGATCAGAGTAGGAATATATCAAATGCACTTGAGTCTAGTGAATTTGGTGGTGAAGGTCATATTTCACACAGCCTAAATTTCATGACTACATCAAAGGACAACACAGTAAGACACTTTGTCAAAATCTAGGTCAGCTGAAATCAAAGTTCACTTTACATATTAATCTGTGCACATGGTTCAAATTTCATAGCAGTACATCAAAGGACAAGAAAGTAGGTCACATCATCAAAATCTAGGTCACCTGATATCAAAGTTCAATTTTACAACTAAAACTGTTGCACATGGTCAAAATTTCATTGCTGGTACAATCAAAGGAAAAGAAGTAGGTCACTGTCCCCTTGGGCAGATTTTGGCCCAAAGGTTTAACTCAAAACAATCTTGATACAGGGTCCACCAAACAACATTTTAAAATCAAATATCTAAGCTGTAACTTTCTCCCATTCAGAAAAAACATTTGTTTTATTTTCTGTTTTTACTATGTGTACATAATGAGAATCACTGGGCCCGGGCAGGGCCAATTTTGACCACCAGGGGAAAAATTTGAACAACTTTGGTAGAGGACCTATCGATGATATTATATAGCAAACATCATGCCTTGTACCTTCAGACAAGAAGATTTTTTTAATTTTTTACTTTATATGTACAATAGTGAAAATCAATGACCCCTGGGGGTGGGGCCAATTTTGACCCTAGGGCTATTAATTTGTACAATCTTGCTAGAGGTTCACTACATAATGTGTCATGCAAAAAATCTTAACTCTAGCCATTGTAAATTTAGAGAAGATAAATTTTTAAGTTTTTACTATATACATATAAGGAAAACCTATGGCCCCCGGGGCGGGGCTAATTTTGACACTAAAGGCAAAATTTGAACAACTTTGGTAGAGTACCTATAGATGATATCATTTAACAAATATCAAAGCTCTAAGCCTTGTACCTTCAGACAATAAGATTTTTTGATTTTACTATATGTATATATTGAAAAATCAATGACCCCCGGGGCGGGGGCTAATTTTGACCCAAGGGCTATAATTTGAACAATCTTGCTAGAAGTTCACTTCACAATGTCTCATGCGCAAAAATATCTTACCTCTAGCATTTGTCAATTGCTAGAAATTTTTTTTTTTAAAGTTTTTACTATAAGTTTTTACTATATACATATAAGGAAAACCAATGATCCCTGGGGCTTGGCCGATTTTGACCCCAGGGGGCTATAATAGTTGAACAATCTGGGTAGAGGTCTACCAGACAATGCCTTATGCAAAAATATCTAAGCTCTAGGCCTTTTGGGTCTTTAAAAGAAGGTATTTTAAGTTTTTACTATTGTACATATAGTGAAAATCAATGACCCCCCGGGGCGGGGGGCCGATTTTGACCCCAGGGCTATAATTTGAACAATCTTGGTAAGGTCTACCAGACAATGCCTTATGCAAAATATCTAAGCTCTAGGCCTTTTGGGTCTTTAAAAGAAGGTATTTTTAAATTTTTACTATATGTACATATAGTGAAAATCAATGACCCCGGGGCGGGGCCGATTTTGACCCCAGGGCTATAATTTGAAAATCTTGGTAGAGGTCTACTAGACAATGCCTTATGCAAAAATATCTAAGCTCTAGGCCATTTTGAGTCTTTACAAGAAGATTTTTTTAATTTTTCTTAGAAATCCTTTTGGTTGCCATGGCAACCAGATTTCAGCATGGAATGAAATTCTTTGAATAACTTTGGAAGCCCTTCACCCAAGGGATCAATCCTGCCAAGTTTGGTTGAAATTGGACTAGTAGTTTTTCACAAGAAGATTTTTTAAGTTCACTATATAATCTTATAACACACACACACACAAACAAACACACACACAGATGAATCGCTATATGCCACCGCATCGCAGATGCTGCGGTGCATAATAAAGGAATATGCCCAATCTTCATGAAGACGCATAACACTTAAGAATCCGCCTAATGTCTTTAATTATAGAAATTTTCTATTAGTAAAATGATCATAAAGTATGAAAATGCTAAACAAAGTGTCTGTCATACGTTTAGATTTTTTGCAAAATTTATCAAAGTTTCTTACTCGTTCTGTAGCAGATGACAATCTGAAATTTACAGTTTTTCAGCCTCCTTTTGAAGAGTCAAAAATGCATACAAAGCTACCGAAGGCTAAGTTTCGCACACAAAACATATAAATTTAGCTCATTTCCTACATACAAATTACAAAGAATTACATCAACAAAGAAATATAAACAATTTTCAACACCTTCAAAACACCATGTCTGTATTATCAATAAATTTCACCGGGGCCAAAGTACGAATATGTCCCTGCCCCCTCAGATCTGGTGAGCTTGTAAAGGGGCATAACTTTGCACAAAAAAAAACAACTGTAACTGCCATTTTAAATTTGTGTCCCTGTATGAAAACAAAGGTATATACCAAGTTTGAAGAGAATACTTGTTACACATTTTTAGAAAATTGACCTTTAACAAAAAGGTTAACATGCACAAAAAAATCTTGACTAAATTTTCTTAAGTGAATATCATTTGGATCTTAACAGTGCTAATTAAGTTTAATAATGGTGCATAACTTTGCAATAAATGCTTTTATGATTATCTGCCCTTCTGAAATACAGTCAACATTGTATTAAGAGACCACTCAAGGGACTGCCAAAAAGTGGTCTCTCAATAGAATTCTGGAAAATTCGAGACTTTTTATTACAAGTCATAGATACAGTTGACTCTCAATAAGTCAAAATCGCTTTACTCAAAATTCCGCCTTAGTTGAATAATTTCAATAATCCCCGTCAAATTTCCTTCT